CACACATTTTACCCCCCCACACCACCCTTATACCTCAAAACCCCTTTCTCCCCTCCCCCCCTATCATTTCTCCTCCACAGCAAACCTAGCCAGAGGTACACAGGGCAAGTAATGCTTGGGCGGCATTCTCATTACCTCTTTTTCAATTTCGACAAATTCAAATAAGCCGTTAAAGGCACTCAAAAAAGAGCAAAAGTTCCGACGAACTAGCTCTAGCGGAAAAATCAGCAACACGCTCAAATCAGTGCGACCGGAATTGTTCTATGGACCGGAAGGGAGGTTGGATATGGCCGACCATGGACATTAGAATATGATAAAATGTTGAAAATATAGTATACACTGATAATATATTTGATAAAAAATGGAATCAACATAGGTTAATCTGTTGTAGTGAATTAATGAAGCTTGACGAGATTATACACATCCTTAAATTGGATTAATATGAATGTGAAATGTAATTATCTAGCCTCTAATTTAATTGAAGACTATTGAATTTAAAAATCTGGTTAGTTTAAAAACAGGTGGCGGGGAAAGGCTAAATAAAAACAAACCACAATTACAATATATTAAATATATTAAGGAATTTTGAATTAATACAAGTACTTCCATAATGTAACATAAACTTATATTAAATTCTGCAGTCTATATGGTTAGGTACTTTTAATTTTTTACTTTAAAAAATGACGTAAATTTAACTTATTAACTATAATTATGTATTAGATATAAAACCAAATTTGAATCAATCTTGTGTTCGTATTCCATCGTAAACAGAGAAACAGTTATTTTTAAGTTAATTTACATGTTTGTTATTTTAAATTTTATCAACACGCTTCAAAAAAGTTTTTCGTAAACGCAAATAAATTTTCAGTTCTACAATTATTTATTGGCCTTTAAATAAAATCAATTTAGTGTACATACTGCGAATTTTTTTATCTGCCACAGCACTTTTGCAAATATAATGGATACGTGTAGTGAGGTAACAATTACAAATAGATTTAATTAAAAGAACTTTATGATTTTCGGTTAATGGGGTTACGTCATGTTTAGTCATATTATTAAAAATATTTTTTTCAATAAAATGTTTTAAAATCTTCAAAGCCACCACTTCTTTATTGAGTTTTTTATTACACATTTGCTCATTTTTTAAAACCATTTCCGTTTTTTCACAAATTTCAATAACGTCAATACTTGGGTAACTCAAACCTCCTCTGGTTTTATGTTTTATCAAGGAATTCAAAACACAGTGCTCACATTGCAGTTTCCGCCCTAGTTTAAAAGAAACGAAACCTGCAATGTAAGTTATTACCTCTGTACTGTAAGCAGTTATGATCGTGATGATGTAGGTAATTATTCAACATATCATCCTGAGTATTATTGGCTCATTAATAATTTGTTCTGGAGGTTTGGTCTTTGAACTTACATTTAATATGTTAATGTCTTCAAGGGGTATACAGTTTCCAGCGCCACCTTCCCTGACTTCTGAGTGTATCAATATTTTTTTATATGCTGCATTAAATTGCCTGCAAGTGGGATTGTTATTGTCTCCCCCTTGAGACCGGATTGTTCCAAAGAACAACTCAATATGGTCCTGGTTTAATTTATACGTAGGGATAAATTTTAAGTCTCCTTTTAGAACGTATTCGTCGTACCTCCTAACAATGCCATAAGCCCCATTAATAAGCCCACAAAACCAGACTTTCTTTGAGAATCTACAACAGGAGTCCCATCGGAAAATGTTAAATTATTTATATAGTGACTAAATTCAATAAAAAACAATTTAATGTTTTCTATATTTCATGAGCATGCAGCCTGTTTAAAATCAAATACACCTACGCATATATCAGAAATTTTGTGGGAATTTAAAATATCAAAAGAATCATTGACTAATAAAATAAATTTTGCAGTGGGACCACAGTTCGCAAATTCCGGTAGATGTAGCTTATCTCTACAATAAAGTAATGCCTCGGATACCGAACGGCTTAGAAGTTGAGTTGCAAGTTTAACTTTCATTTTTTGTTTAAAAAAGTTAATATGGTGTTTTCTTAGTTTAGTTCCAAGATGAAGTCCCTCTTTTTCTTGTAATTCATTCAACTCTTGAACAAATGCAAAATTAATTAATCTACCATTAACATCTCTAAACTGCTTTATTGTTAGTTTTATATTCAAAGTGATAGTATATCATCGTTTACTGTCAAATGTGAAGTGCATGACATGTGATCGTGCACAAGCTTGCCAAGTCTACCGTTTTAACGTTTTCAGGGTGGGTGCTACCGCCCTACCTTTTAGCCGTAAGAAAATACCGTTAGAAACCTTAGATTAAAGAAGCTTTAGTTTTAAGGTTAAAACTAAAAAAAGGAAGTTTTCTCAAATTAATTTGTTGAAAACGAAACAGAGACATGTATTATCCACAAATAGTATTGTTGGTCTAATGCATTCGAAAGAATACATAGGTAGTTTCATTTCATAATAATAACATGTACAAAAGGTCTGATAGCTTTTCTGACTCAGAATAAAGTGTTTTGAATTAATTGAAAAATAAAACATGTTTTTTTATCAAATGATATATTTTCTAAAATCTTTTTGTCATAAATAATTTTTTAGGTGGGCAAACCTTATATACAACGTAATGATTATTTTTTATTTAATATTATCGCTTTTTCACTAGCACAAAAAATAATCGAGTTTTACTGCTTTATAGAAACTCTCCAAAAATATTTTTTACCTGACGCCCGTTTCGGTAGTTATGCGGTTATCTATTTTGTTATTTGACAAGTTTCGATAAAGTAATAAAACTAGGTTATTTTATTTTAATTTTATGTAAATTAAGTTATTTAATCAGACTATGAAGGCTTTCACGGCCGGTCAAATCACATTTAGAAAAGATTTATTAGGAAAGCACGGGAGATCACTTCGTCCACTGCCTCATCGCCTTTGAAAATGTCCATCGCAGTTGTGGACGAAACGTCAGGACGCAATTACCATGGACCACGGCTTCAAAGCCCGAAAAACATTTCTAAATGTAAGTTATTTAAATCAAATATTTTGTTCGAAAATACATTGGAAAACCACTTCTAACTTCGGAAAACATAAATTTGGGACATTAAATTATCCAGCGTTTTATTTTTAATACCGTTCTTTTCCTATCCATTCCACCAGTTTCGAAGTTCGTGGTCTGGCAACGCTGATCGTGCATGATACGAATACGAGCACGACAACCACGGGCGAGAATAGTTTGATAATCTGTGATTTGCTTCATGTTGTAACTGTAAACTCTGGTGTTCCAATAATGGTGCAATTAGAAGAAAAGTGTAAAGCGATCGTCAAATACAGTCAGTAGAATACGAGTAAGTAAACAGTCATGAATGGCCGGATTTATTTCGAGGAATGAGAACGAATCAATCATCTGGCATCATTTTCGGTAATGGCGACGTTTATAACCGGCGAAATTCCATTTGTTTTGTCATGTCGGCTGTGTCTCCGCATTTTTAGTTTTGCAGTTTAGTTTTTTCTTCTTGCACCTCACAGTACTCGTCAAATCAAGCACTTTCAGCGAAAAAAAATCATGGATGGTCCATAAATTAATCCAAAAAACACTCATAAAGTTTGAGGAAAATCACCATTTTGAGGCTATATTTCGAGTGTGTAAGTTTGAATTTAAATCATTTGAATGAAATTTTTGGTCGATCCAAGACTTGCTCACTGAGACTGCTTTACTGCTATACTTTAAAAACCTAAAACAAAGGTGTTGCTTCATAATTCGAATTTATATGCGTAGGTGTATTACTAATATGACCAGAATAAACAAGACAAAGAATCAAAAGAATGAAATAGCGATAATTTTATTTCTTTTCCCAAAAAATGGTGCATGAAATAGCAAATAGAAGATGGATATCAGATAACATTTTTATTTGGAACTTTTTCTGCTTCAGGATTGGCAGCGCTCCATTACTGGCAATTAGCCAGCTCATTAGAGGCGAGGTGGCTGTTTGGTATGCTACCATATTATCTCGCAAGTTGGTTTGTTTAAGTGTTGTGGAGTAGACCTTCAAATAGAATCTAGCTATCAACAAGTAGCTTTTTTTTTATCAAACTAGTAAGGTTTTTTATCTCCATTCTCAACTGGTCATTTTTCTTGCTGCCACTAAATTTTGGAGTTGAGAAATTACTCAAAATTAATTTTACTCAAAAATAATTAAAATGGCATTCTTCTTTAATAATTTAGCAGTTCAATAAAGCATGCCCATAAGAGAAAAGTCAACGTCTTAACCTTTTGGCAAATAATTACGACCTCCTACGTAAATTTATACGCTAATTGTAGATACGTGGTAAATTTTTATTACTTAGCATGTATCTGGGCCTACTTCTTTACGAATTGTCGCCAACGGTTGCTCATAATTGGAATAAATGGACAGATTGGATTTAATAAGAAAAAAAAAACACTATTGCTTGGATTAGTTTATGCATTTGTTATGAAATGTTTTATTGTTTAGAATGGAATATTGAGAAATGTGTTCAATAATTATTAAGTTACCCATGCTTTTCCGAAAAGAAAAGGTTTATGTTATTTATTATATTTTAGAATTGTCATAATTAATAGCCAACCGGGAGAGCATGAGCAACTTAGTAATTCTTCAACACATTTCCAAATATTCTGAACCAAACAGTAAAAAATTTGTATCACCAAGCAATCAAAATAATTTTTTTTTTACAATATGAAACCTGGCATGAAAAATTTCAAGTATAGCCAAGTTAACGAAATAAATTATTATTTGTTGAAACATCAGTTTTTGTGAATAAAAATGTCAGTTGACATAACTAATAACAAACATACAGGCTTATAAAGCAAACTTATTAGTTTCACATTTTAAATTTTTTCTTGGGTATTTAAGTTTACGCTTTATACATTGATTATCTGTCCGAATTTTATCATAGTCGTATAATTTGGGGGGTTACAAGTACAAAAAGGCTTTAACTTTTTTCTGATATTATAAATCAATCTTTTTTCAACAAATTGTGGAAATTCGTATTTTACGAAGAAAAGGTACTCTAATTTGCTTCGCTCGGACGCACCGTTTGCCAACTAAATGACTTATAAACTATCACTGTTTTATAAAATTGTGTTAAATATTACCAATATCCCTAAATCTATTGTAAGCATTTTTACTTTTACCGAGTATGAAAAAACTAGTGAATGTCTGTTCATTTTTTTTTGATTATTAAAAAAACGATAAACGAAAAAACAAACGATTGCACGAAGGCATGCAACACATACTTGAATTTAAACCATATTTTCAGATCGGAAGAATGACTCAAATGCAAGGATTGCATCCTTTCCATTATAAAGGGTACATTATTTACGGCCAACAGATTTTCCAAAGCGTACAGAATACGCCGTTGGATTCTAAGCCACGAACATTATTTAAGAGCATTTTATGGTCGTATAAGGCAATCTTTTCGAGAGGCAAAGCATTCAACAGTCATAGTACTCATTTTTGGAGCCTCGAGAATGCGAGTGGTTCGAAGGGCAAACTTTCAACATAGGTTCTCTTTCAATGTATGGGTAGGTGTCATAGGGGATATCTTGATAGGACCTATTATTTAACCAAATAGGTAGAAACACCCATAATTATTTAAATTTTCTACATGATCTGCAAGTATTGCTAGAGGATATTCCTATATGCACTCGGTTAGAAATGTTCTTCCGACATGATGAGGCTTAGTTTAGCTCCAGCCCACTTTGGCTAAACCAATATTTTCCAAGCTGGTGGTCAGGTCGCGGTGGCCCAGTAAACTGACCAGCTCCATCGCCTGATATAAACTCTTTAGATTATCATTTGTGGGGTAATATGTCCAATATTATTTATGCCACAGAAGTAGATAGCCCAGAAGAGCATCGAAGCGGACTTGCGCGGCCCGAAATCAAATGAAACAAACTACTATTCAAATTCTCCGTGACACCCAACATATTAGGAAACCGTCTTGTGCATTCAAAAAAATGGAAATTTGTTTGCATATTTACTCCAGTAAATTAGTGTCGATAATAATATTAACTTAAAATATAAAACGTGTATGGATTGCAGTGATATTTTTAAAGTCATTTAGTTGGAAAATGGTGGATTACGAAGTACTTTTACAAACTTCTTTTTGGGTATTTTGCCTCAAAAATTTTTGTCTTTAAAAAAGACAGAATTTCCTTACGTCTTTTATTACAGATTGATAAATA